GAAGAGTAGGATTGGAGCACAGCCTAGTGACTAAAACAGCATACCCAAAAGCAAGAACACACTTCATTACACATAACATCATCATCTAATATAATCTTTGATCTCTACAGTCGAGCAGAGAGTAATGCGTACCATACCGTATGCCTTCCATTAATCCATTTTTTTAAGAGCGGTCGCTTCTCGGCAGAGGTTGTAAAGGCTTTCGAGGGTAGTCTATATATAAAGCAATCGTTTTTCGAACCGTGTTGAGACTTATAAACTGATTGGTTAGGGTCTGAAATTAAAATATAAATTGCATTTTAAAAAAATTTCTCAATAATTATAATATACGAGGGGATTAACAAAAGTTCGGTAAGTTGAGCAGAATTTTTTTTTTATTTATTCGTAATTCTTGTCCTTTTTTATCTTCTCTACATAATCGTCGTTGATTTCAAAGCATTTCTTAAGCCTATAGATCCACTTCTGAAAACAGTCTTCAAAATCATGATTCTTAAGCTAATCAAGTTCAGCATTAACCCTATTAATTATCTCCTCGTTGCTATTAGGATCATTTCCTTTTAAGTTTTTGGAAATATAGAGAAATCACAAGGTGCTGCATCCAAAGAAAACGGTGCTGGACGCATTTCTTCGACTCCACTAATCGCAATCAAATTACTAAAGGTGCGCCGCAAATCCTCTTTCTTTCTGTTTTCCCCACAAAATTTTGAAAACTATTTCGCAGTTACCGCCTGACCCTTTTCCAGTGGCATAACAGTTACGATTTTAGATTGGGTGAAGTAAACTGACATCATTACTTTTGCTGCTGATTTTTGTTGCTCTGTTTTTACAGGTGAGTTTGCTCCTGTTGTGCTTCATACCATAGACTGTTGTTTGATTTCTGGATCGCATTTATAGAAACAATATTCGTGACCAGTAACAACTTTACTGTACCGACCAATTTCGAATTTGTTTAGGAAAAATTAAGCGAAATGCACGCGAGCTTATTTTTTGCCTCATTTAAAATACGTGGTACCCATGAAGCAGATTTCCTCGTGTATCTCAGGTGGTTACTTAATATTCGCGATGCAGCCTTGGCATTCAAGCCCAATTCATTAGGAATCATTTCTTTTGTCAATCGTGGGTCTTCGTCAATTTTGGACTTCACAGCAGAGTAACGTCATCAGTGGAAGATTTTGGTCAACCTTCTCGAGGATCGTTCTTTACGGAAAAATGTTTGGTCTGGAATCTTCCGAACCACTTAGAGATAGTTTTTAAAAATGGTGTAAGCGTTCCATATGCAATTTGGCATTCACTGAATATTTGTGGCAAATTTCTGTTTGGCTGGGACCGTCTGACCTACCCTCAGCTATCTGACGTTATCCCGTCTCCATTTTACCCGAGCATTCTAAATTTTGAAAGGAAGACTAATAAAGTAATTGCGAAGGATTTGGTATTATTAGATTTAACAAAAATAAATCGAAAGTCACCAACTGACCGAACTTTTGTTAATCCCCTCGTATATGTACAAGTATTCAATAAATAATTGGCTTAACAATTAATTGACATGATCTTCGTTTACAAAACTAAAAATTTAATAGTAAAATAATATTTTTATTCGCATTTGCTATATAATTTTTTAGCTTTTATGCTCATACCATGTAGCCCCCAGTCATGTCGCGACGCATGTCTGAAGCTCGAAACATTTTGTCAACTCTTTAAAAATCGACGTGCCTCACTTGTTGTTTTATTGCTTTTGGCGTCTGGCAAAAATGGACATTTATTTTACTTTTTTTTTAAATCATTAAAAAACGAAGAAATTCGTACGCAAAACAAGCAGAAATACAGATTTACAAATATATTTACATATATCTACATATATAATATTTTCTACCTGTTTATTAGCAGTCTCGCCTCGTCGACTCATCGCCGTCTGCTAACACCGCTGGCATGTCGTCTGTCTGTCCTGTTTGTAAATAAGTCTGGCTTTCAATTTGTCTTTATTCTTATTATTGAAGACTTAGCCTTGTCTGCTCTATGTAATGAGACATTCTCATGTATTTACTTACATTTATACATACATAGGTACGTTTTGCAGTTCGTATGTTGGCCATGCAAATAAACTAGTTTTTGGAGTAGTGCCACATGCTGTCTCTGCCACTTGAAGTGAAGCTTCTTCTTTCCCTTTTTTGTGTTAGTGTTTTTTGTCCATAATTTTTTTGTCTTATAAACCTCGTTACTTGAGAACTTGCTATAGCTGTTGGCAGTGAGAAGAAAGCTGCATATATTTTTACATGTATTTTTTGCTTTGCTAAGATCATTGCCGTGCCCAGTTTGCCTGTTGGGTTTTGTGGAGAAAAATAGATTTTTATCTGCCTAAAAACAAATTTAAAACGTGATTACAAACAACAACGTGCGGATTGAGAAACGTTACGTTCACAGACATATTTTTTTATTCATTTACATATATATATATATATTTATTTATTTATTCATATATATAATATTTATTTATATATATAAGAGTTTTTTTTATATGATTGTGACCAGTGATCTGCAACTGAAAGTTGGTCAGTTCGTTTGTATGATTCCTGCAAAGGTTTGTACGAAGCGGCGCCGGGACTTGCACGGAAAGTGGACGATGCACTGACTTATTCGAAAAACTTGTATTTATTTAAAGATACATAGAAGACTCTTTTCTCTGGGGTGTAGACCAGAGACCGACTTAATCGAAAAAAATTGTATTTATAGTTATTTTTTTTTAAATCCTTTGCGTCGTTCTATTTGAAAATACGTGCATATTCTTGGTTCGGTGTAATTAAATTATTGGATGAATCTCTATCTAAATGGATTACATTTGATACCTGGATATAAACAGAAACCTGTAACCTAGTTTCCTTTGCTAGAATTATAAATATATAATAATTTTATTACAGGAAAGGAGGGATTATTCATTCTTTGCAATACCAATTAGAATAAAAATTGAAAAACAGAACAGAAAGCCACAAGATTATGTGGATGGGCCTGTTATTTTGTTATAAAATTTTTAAACTGATAAGTTTTTGCCTTCTTAAACTCAGCTTAGTAAACAATCGCCATTATCTGGAAAGTTGTAAGAATCAATATAATCGTCCAGCAGAGTCGATAATTCGAGCAATCAGGGATCGATTTCACATAATGTTTACTCTTGCTGGAAATGCGCATCCTTATGAACGCCATACAGTGCGAACCGAAGACGCAGTGAATGAGTTCGTCCGTTACCTAGGCAACTTTATGAAATATTTTGCGAAAGGATCTTGGTTTGCGGGCTACAAAACCCAACTTATGCAAGAATTGAAGCCGAATGATGATTAAGCGCGTCGCACGTTCGGTGAATGATTTCGAAATGAGATGGGCAGTGATCAGAGTTTTTGTAAGACAGTTTTGTTCAATCATGAAGATCACTTTTGGTTAAATGGGTTAAATTTTGGTATGCGGATCATAATCTATCAGGCATTATTGAGACGTCGTTATATCCTCAAAAAATCACTGTTTGGTCGACCATAATGTTACAGTCAAAGAGGAACGGTATATAGCCGTGATAAAGGACTTTTTTTGTGCCTGAATTGGAGAATGTTTATGTGGATGACCTTTGATTCCTACCAGAGGGTGCAATCTCATACTGTCAAAGAAACAACCATTTTTCGAAAGGAAACTTTAGTTGAGCGCATCATACATATTGCGTCGTGGGCCTGTGGCGTGGCCTCCAAAGTCACCATAAAGTATATTGCGTTCTATTGGGATTGAAAGTCACACGTTTGAAATACACCCTACTATTTTAAATCTTTTCTGACGACAAATATAAAATATAAAAAATATATGGCAACCCTAAGCCAAAAAAAAATGTTCTCCCGAAATATTCGTTAAGTTCTTCAGTTCAGCGATGCCCATATTATAATGATTCGCACTTTGGTACCCATATTGTAATATTAAGGAGACCCCGCCTGATTTTGGATCGAAAAAACGGTTTTTATACGCATTTGTAGAATATGCGTTTGAAGGGATTTCGCAATACGATGAATAATTTTCAAATGGCAGCTTCACACCTGTCTCCCGCACGCTGCGAACTTTCAAAAAACTTTGAACGCGTTTTTCTCGAAATCGTATTATCCGATCTAATTTGAAGCCGCGGGCTTGATCTATCCGTCCGATTTCTGTTATCTAAAAACTAATATTAGCTTTATTAATTAATTATTGATATTTTTTTAACATGATTAAAGTGAAAAAAGTAGCAAAAATATTACTTTATAATTGCAATGAGCTTATTGCATAAAATTGTTTAAATTCAGGTTCTGGACGTAGAAAATCTCATGATCTTTAAGTAATGACTACGTTTTTTGATTTCAGTCTACTGCAAGAGGCTGAAAGCTTGAAGTTGTGGGGCCATGCTTTTCGATCATGAATTTTGACAATTTTTTTTCCGCTTTAACATCTCAAATAATAAACAAATTTAATAGTCAAAACCGGTAGTTCGTACGCCTTTTAATTCTTCCACAAAAATATACAAACTTTGTCTGATTTTTTCCCCAATATCGGGGAGATTCCCCTTAATTTGTTCTGAGGTTTTCATTAAATTCATTTTTTGAAACAGTTGGCAACCTGAGGCAGATACAAAATTTGAAATTATACGTCCTTAAAACCTACCACAGACACCCCACTGTTTGGCCACACTTTTTATGAACTTGTTTTAAAGGTGGCAACCATCTTTTATTGCCACCAAGCAAAACTTTCACTGTATTGACTTCAGTTACGATCTGCACATTGATGCATCGTGATCATTTCCGCCTTTTTAGACACCATAAATTTTACAAAACTCTTTTTTTCTTTACGTCTCCCTCGTCAATTCTACTACATTTATCACCTGAGCTCAGTTCATTCATCTCCAGCTTAAGATCGCCATTCATTAATACTCATTCATTTTACGTTGGCAAAATCTTTAATACTCTGTTCTTTTTTTTTTCTTTTCTCTTCTCTTGTCTTTACAGAGTGTCAGTGCAGCCCGATCGGCGCCGTCGCCGCGACATGTGACAAGCGGACCGGTCAATGCGCCTGCCACGCCAACGTTACCGGCCGGCGTTGCGACAAATGCAAATCAGGTCATTGGAACCTCACGCAAGGCGTCGGCTGCCATGATTGTCGTTGTGATCCAGCCGGTTCGCGCAGCCACGAATGCAATCCATGGACGGGCCAATGTGATTGTAAGATCGGTGTAGGCGGTCAGCATTGCAATGAGTGTACGGACGGTTTTTACGGCTTCTCCACGGATGGCTGTCAACGTTGTACGCAGTGCGCGGGCGAAGGACAAGTTTGTGATCCGTTGAATGGTCGCTGCATCTGTCCGCCGAATAGTCGTGGGTTGGGTTGTGCACAATGTGTGGCCGGTACTTGGGGTTGGCAGCCGCGTCTTGGTTGTCGTCAGTGTGCTTGCGATCGTATCGGTTCGATTGGACAGCTGTGCGAATCGTTGAATGGCCAGTGCCAGTGTCGTGAGGGTTATGCGGGCCGGCAGTGTGACACGTGTGCAATCGGTTACTTTGGCTATCCGGAGTGCAGGCGTTGCAATTGTAATGTGGATGGTTCGTTTGTACATCACGCAGATGGTGCGATCACTTGCGATGCGAATGGGCAATGCCCGTGCAAGGCGCTGGTTGTTGGTCTCAAATGTGACACGTGCATGAAATCGACCTTTGGTTTGTCGGCACTCAACCCGGAAGGTTGTACGCGTTGCTTTTGCTTTGGTCGTTCGAGTGAGTGTGTGCAAAGTGAATGGTCGTGGGGGCACATACGCATGGCGGAGGCACGCAATCTGAGCGTACAATATTTGCGGCCACAATACGTCACGAATACCGAATATGAGTATATTGTTGTTGTGCAGATGGCTGGCGCAAAGAGTTATCGCGAAGATGCTGAAATACACCTGCTTAACGATCTGAATTTAATACCACGCTCCACGGGCAATGTCTCCATCGGCGCTTACACAAATTTTTTTCATCCACTCTACTTTCAACTGCCGCCTCAATTCTACGGTGATCGCACTAGTAGTTATGGTGGTTACTTGTATTTCACATTGCTGATCAAAGGCGCGAACCGTCCGCTCGAGCGTAAAGTACTATCACGATATCCTCTCGTACAAATCCATTCGCACAAGAAGTTGGTGTTGGACTATTTTGAGTATGAGAACTATGAGTACGCACTGAATGTGACCTATAAAGTGCCGCTGCATGAGTCCGAGTGGAAGTATCATCACAACAGTCAGACGGTGGATCGTGCTAATTTAATGGCGGCCCTACAGAACGTACAGCATATCTTTGTGCGTGCCTCGGCCTTCGCAGACTTCACCGAAGTCGTGTAAGTACGATACAATAGATTATTTAGAAAAAACGAACTTCCAAAGTTTTTTGTTAACATCTAGATCGCTATATACCCATGGATTCTAATTGGTTAAGTGTAATCTGTAATCTTACCCCTCTCCCTAACGACCTCAAATAGACTACAGGTTGACTTGATTTATATTAGACTTTCAAAGAGCTTAGGTATGACTTACCTAGATTGTCAAGAGGTGGCAGCTGATTTCTTAATCCTAAACTTGACTCTAAATACGCTCAAATAAGATTTTAAGTCATTGAGTCTTTTGCTACTTCAGTTAATACATAGAGAGGAGGGAGAGTAGGACAAATAATGACCACGTCTTTAGAGAGTACGCCATTTGCAGTTGTTTTGCGTACAAATTGTAGTATTAGTAAGCAGCTCTACTGGCATGATCTTGGCGCCTACTTGAACTGAAGTTATTACGTAAGTTCTGAATCTCAGAAAAATATTAGCGAATCTCCTAATGCATGCCTCATGGTACCTCCTAATCCTTAAACGGTGAGTATGCCTTCATAATCTGGTATAAATGAGCTTATCCTTCTTTCAAATCTATACAAAATCTTGAACCTTGAGATTCTTATAAAATAAATTAAAAAGCCGCCTCCTCCAATACAATAAAACTAGGTTTAAACTATGCTTTACGCTCTGCATTCGCTGAATTCAAACTTCCTCAAAAACTGAATAAATGTTGGATTATAAAAAGGTCGTCTCTGCCCTTGTCCAAACCTTTACCTTAAGGTCAGCTCTGATTTGACTGCTTACTCAAGATAAGTTCCCCGCTCAACACATTTCCATTTTTTCGATTCAATCCCTCATTAGAGCTTAGTTGGCTACGACGCCACTTCTCATTTTAGAGGTAAGTCGTGCTGAATAGATTTGTATATCTCCCTCATTAAATGAAGCTTAGAGAATGTGTAAAACAAGCTCGAGAGAGATACTCTCCACAGTTCTGGAACACGTTCTCCCCTAAGTCCTTTGGGAAAAGACTAATGAACATACAATTTTCTTCTTCTTCACCAACAATTCTTTATAGTCTCAATAACGTGCATATGGATTCAGCCATCTATGTCTACGGCTCCACCAATATGATAGCCAAAGGTGTGGAACAATGCAAGTGTCCGAAACGTTATGATGGACTCTCATGTCAAGACCCCGGTAAAGGCTATTATCGTTATCGTAATGTTACTGAAATCGAGACCGTCTTTATAGAAGATCTTATCGGGCGTGTGGTGCCCTGCCATTGTAATGGACGTAGTAATGAGTGCGAGAGCGAAACAGGTGTTTGTTTGGTGAGTAGAAATGCTTATGAGAACGCTCTATTAGAAATTTTTTTGAAATTAATCTTTAATTTTTAGAATTGTCGCGACAATACTGGCGGTGATCATTGTGAGCAATGCGCTGATGGCTTTTATGGTGATCCAAACTCACCGTATGGCTGTCAATCGTGTCCCTGTCCGGAGACGAGTCGCAATTTCGCCAAAGGTTGTAACGTGTGGCAAGGTGAAGTCAGTTGCATTTGCAAACCCGGCTATACCGGCAAGCTATGCGATCAATGTCGTCCAGGCTATTTCGGCAATCCACTTGCTTATCCGAATAGCACCTGTCAGCCGTGTAATTGTAATATGGATGGCAGTGCCAATGATGATTGCGACAGTCAAACGGGTCAGTGTCAGTGTCGGTCGGGTGTGACGGGACTGAAGTGTGACAGATGTATTGCTGAGCGCCACCATCTGGAAGATCGCGGTTGTAGAAGTGAGTAAAATGATAAAGAAGCATAAGGGTGTAGGCTAAGCGCTAATTGTTTTTTTTTTCGAACTTACAGTTTGCGACAATTGCACGCTGCTGCTGCTGGACTACGTCGAGTTGATCAGCAACAAACTGCGTCGCGGCTTACATAATATGGACTTGACGGGCATACCAGCGCCCTACCTGAAAGTTGAGGATTACGAACATGCCTACAACACGCTGCAGATACACTACGAAGACTACACGAACGCACGGAAAATGCTCGGCAGTTATGACGCTAATGAGCTGCTGAAGATCGATTCACATGCCGAGAATAATAAATATCAGTCACGCAAAGCTCTCTCCACAGCCACAAAACGCCAACAGGCCACCGTTGAGCTGCGGAACGATGTGTCCAACTTATATGTTGATATAGGCGCGCTACGCGCGGATATCTTACAGTACATCTTCACGCTGAACAATTACGGCAAGAGTGAGCAACACATGAGCCTGCCAATGGCGTTGGATCAGGCGCGTTTCTATTTGGACTCTATACGTCAACACGAGGAGACGGTTGAGAATATACGCAACTCCACACAATGTGCTTGGCATTTTTACTATCATTTCGGTAATGCTTCGGATGCGGCTTTTGATCAGAAGGCGCGTGTCGAAATGTTTTGGCGTGACTTGAACCAAACCAACTTTCGCATATCCGATATGCGTCTACACGCCGATCGTACTGTCGAAATGCAAAACGAGATCGACGACACGTTGGAGCATGTGATGAATTTGCGCAATCATGTTGTAGACGATTATAATAAAATCAACGAACTTGGTGCGGATGTAATGGATTACCTAAACCAGAGTTTAATACCACGCACAGATGTCTTAAGCGAACAGAATTGGGCGCAACAGGAGCGTTTGACAGGTGTGACCGATTCGATAGATCGTCTTGTTGAACAGTTGAACATTTCGCTGGGCGATAGTGACGGTATGCAACGTGAGGTGCGCAAACATTGGCTGCCGAAAGCTCAGAAACATGCCGATAGACTGATGGAGCGTTCAAATGAGTATGCCAGACAATTCCAACCGACACGCAATGGTGCGCGGATCGCGTTGCTAGCAAGGTAAGTCTAGATTTTTAACTTTTGAACGGAATTTAAACGGTGCTACTCGGCCAACTATCGTCTGGAAGTCTCTCAAAAAAACAAATAATTACTTCTCACTTGTTTTATTCTATTGCTTTGTGAGCGCATCTTTTCTCATTTTCAAATCTCAAGTTGACATAAATCGTTTTCTACCTAACGAAATCTAGCTGAGACGATTTGAGGTTGGTTAAGGTATATATCCATGAACGCACCTAACTATTGGGGTTAGGGTCTGAAAAATTTTCCCGTGGTAAGCCATGCCTGTCTTAAGAAAAGACTAAAATACAAAAGTTCCCACGACAGCCGAGTCTTTCTACCAGAACGACCCGGATTTTTATCCGTCCAAGGACTGTCACTCTCGCAAGATTCTCCAAAACCAACCCAGTCGCATTCGAGCTACGAATGACCTTCGAACAATAACCTAGAAGCCTTCATCCCATAACGCGTGGACTCATCGACCATTGTTTTCCTTTAAAAGATATATTACTATACCTACTAACCCGTAGGATTTTTGAGTGGGTTATTTGTCCACTAAGTTAAACCAAAGCATAACTAGCATGAGCGATCATACTGGAAATGAATTTTAGGAATCTTAGGTTATCCCTCAGCAATTTCAGATTATTCCTCAGCATAATTTTCCTGCTTTTTAAAAATCACACTGGATTAAGAAGGAACTCATAATTTTGCACGGACAATGGCTCGGGTAGGCGCTCATGTCAAACTGAATTTGGTCGTTGGTTAACAAAAGAATCCCGGCCTGAAGACGTCCAAAGGTTTCTGTAAATTTCAAAAAACTAAGCTATGGTTGTGAAAACCTCATGGTTGTTTGGGGAAAATACCGAGCACCGTTGAAGGATGTCTCGCTTCGTTAATAGAAAATCCGCATAAGTTTCATCGGTAAAAGACGGCGATAATCAAAAGCTCCTCATAAAAAAAACATCAGCCGTTCGGAGGCGGCTTAGTATAAACTGTATGTCCCATTTGTTGGTAAAACATCAAGACGCAAACCCACAAATTGGAGGAGGATCTCGGCCGAAAATCGCTTCAGCGGTTACAAAAAGCGCTGATTATATATAAAAGACCTGTGCCAGCTGATACTCGTAGTCCATGTCAGAATAAAACGAAACCACGCCACCACTCCATCAAGATTAATCCACTAACTTTTTCAAATTTCCGAAACAGCTCTGCGCATAAAAATATCTCCGATGCCATAGACGCTGCACGTCAAGCATCCCTAGAAGCTACGGAACGTGTCTCAGAAGCGCAGCAAAGGCTCTACCCAGACGATGATAGCTCGGTTATTGAACGAGCCAAAATTTCATTAAACAAATCAAAAGCACTACAAAAGGAAGCTCTTACAGAAATGGAGCGGACAAATGGTGAGCATGAAGACTTGGAAAAAATGGTACAATACCTCTCTTATTACATAAATAACTCTCTATTACCCCGTTAGCGCTCAAGCAAAAACTGAAAATACACGAAGACAAAGTGCAACGCATCAAATCGACAATCTACGATGCAGGCACACGTACCAACAATGTCTCAGCGCATTTGCATGCCGCATCCAACAATTCGGCACGTAAATTGGCGCTGGAAAGCATAGAAATGGCTAAAAATATAGGCGATGAAATGCGGCACGAACTGCAGAAAGCCAGACGTATGCATGAGGAGATCTTGAAATTACGAGAAAAGTTTGCCATCCTCGAACCAGATTGGGAGATTAAGCTCGGCAGAGCCGAAGAGAATATATCGCTTACGAAAACAAATATACGCCTGGCCAACATATCACTCTCTTACGTGGAGGAGCAATCACAGAAGGAGAAGGCAAAATTCGACGAATGGAACAACACGATGTCGACGCAAGTGCAGGAGCTTCGCGACAAGATAGCGAAAGCGCGTCATGCAGCAGAAGGCGTAAGTAGTCCGAAAAAAGTGCTGCTTGTAATGTACCCCCTAACATGCCTCTACTTTATATTCTAGATTAAAATCTCCTTGGAGTCGTTGAATCCGAAATGCGCTCGTACCTATCTCCCCACATTGTATGGGCTCTCCACCTCGAACACCATCAAAATGTCATTTGCTTTGCCCAATCGGAATGGCAACTCACCGCTACTGCATATACAGGGCAGCGATGGTCGCTACATCGTACTCGAACTGTATAAGCGACATGTACGTTTGGCGTGGAACCTCGGCGGCACCACCGCTATCATCACACATCCACTGGAAGTGCAAACGCGTGATCCCAAATACGACGATGCCTGGTATCACGTGGAGGCGAATCGCACTTTGAATATCGGTAGTCTTCTAGTGAGGCGTATGAACAATTATGGCGCTTTGATACCCGGTCAACCAGTTAGCGGTAATACCGACGCCGGCTACACGCGCTTCTTCCAAACGCTTAACGAACGCATACATCTCGGTAATTACCCGAGCGATATGTCACAGAAAGAGATGCAGCAAATTTCCGGACTCAATGTTGTTGTACATAATGTCGAGGTAGACAATCGTCCGTTAGGCATATGGAACTTCCTAACGAGTGAGGGTCGCTGTGGTGGCGCAATTATTGGTGCACAAGAGTCAACGTCGACTTCGATAGCACGACATTTCAATGGTTTGGGGTATGCGGAGGTGAAGAAGTCACGCCTGAGATCGTATAGAGCGAATTTGTTTGCGCTACAAATGACCTTCAAGACTTTGGACGAGAATGCACTGCTCTTTTTAGCGGTTGATGATGCTAAAGTAAGTGGCGAGCAGATTGAAGTTTCATGATTTAAGAATTTATTTGTATTTTACTTACTTCTAGAATCGCTCCGTGTCAGTGACCCTCAGTCGTGGGCGCATTATGTTCCGCATTGATTATGGTGACGAGGCGAAATTGGAAATAAATACAACGCACAAATATAATACCGGTAAATGGGTTAAAATTGAGGCAGCGCGCCAGTTTGTACCCAAGCGTGGCACCGAAAATGGTATCTTGCGCGTAGACAACGAACCCGCCATAACCGGTTCACCAACTGTGCCCATTAAAAGTCACATGCTGCCTGATTTATCGAAACCGGTGTACTACTTGGGTGGTGTGCCGCCAGGTAAGACAGGAAAATTATAGTTTGCGCCGCTGAAATTAAGTCATTGCCACCGCTTCCACTTGCAGGTTTCAAATCGGGTACTTCCAAGGCGCCGGGCGCAGATAATCCGTTCCTGGGATGCATGAAGGACGTGCAAGTCAATCACGAAACTTACGATCCACTCGAGAGCTCTACACACTTTGGCGTTGAACCATCCTGCAAGGACATTATAACGAAGTAAGTGAAAAATTTTATGAATATTTCACGGAATATGCTTTCATAATACCAATTTTCATCTCTCCACTCACAGAGCTGGCTTCACTGGGCAGGGTTACATCGAATTACCCTCGCATTCACTGCGTAAGCGCGCCAATACCGGTTTCGTGTTCCGCACGTTACAACCTGATTGCCTGCTACTACTCTCCGCCTATCCACCAGAAGTTGCTGAGGATTACGATGAGAAGGACATCAAAGGCAACTACTCCGTCAGCTTAATTGACGGTCATCTACAAGTGTGGGTCAACTCGGGTCGTGGTTTGTTGAAGATGTCATCTAATAATACATTAAATGATGGTGAATTCCATGTGGTGAACTTAATCAAGACTAGTCGCAAATTTGAATTGATGCTCGATGATGAACTGCAAGACACGAAGAGCTTAACAGGCACACCTACACTTGTCAGCATGCCACGAGATGCTGGCGGCCTGTATATTGGTGGCGCGCCTCCCTATGAGGAATATACTCCACTGGCACCAACATTTATAAAATTAGAAGGCGCCATACGTGATGTAGTCTTCAATAATCACACTATTAATCTAAATCAGGCGGTGGCGTTTTCCAATGTGCAAGTCGGCCGTAATGGTCCACCGATGGGCACTGTGAACGGTGTGTTCGATGTACTGCTTAAGACTGAGCCGATGATTGCCAAGAGTTTTACCGCATCGCCAGAGCGTTGTTTGAGGGTGAGTCATTGCTTCTCATTGAATTTGTAGTTGGGTTTGACATTTATCAATAATATTCATGTAGGGTATGGAATTTTGTAAATATTTATCACAAGTACTTTAGAAATACAAAATTTACATAAATATTAGGTCAAGTAATAAGTCATCCATTATTTTTAAAGTCATCCATTTAAATTGGAGGCGTTTTATGTCAAATATTCACCGTTTTGCTCGATAACTTTCTGCCCTTTTAAAGGTAATGTCATTACACTTTTCTCATAGAAACCCTTGTCCCTATTGGCAACAAATTGTTACAGTCGTTGTTCACAAGCTTCTCTTGACGCCAATTCTTCACCAGCCAAATTATTCGCCATAGACAGAAACAGTTGGTAACCACTTGGTGCGAGGGACTAAAGAAACTTTGGGAGATTCTGATGAGTCCCTATTGATGTAAGTCGTCTCGCGCTGTACTGATGACACACAATGCTCCTCCTATTGGCCAAAGCTGGGCGCTTATGGGCGTCTGCCTTCTTCTTTGAAGCCTATGAACCTCGAAAGTATGAATTTGATTATACCTTCTCGTGCCCACCGACTTTGACAGAGTTAGGGACTTCATCTTTCTCTGTTTCCCACTGCTGCTTCGAGTACTCTCAAATCTGAGGTGTTGTCGCTCATACGGACGGCACACCATCGTACCCGCTTTCAATCCGTCGTTTGCTATGGATGTTACCGACGGCTACTTTAAATTTGAGTTGATCTGTGTTGATCTTTTCACACGGGTCCATGATATATTTTCCAGGTCTGAAGCTACACAGATAAGTTTCCATTAGTTTGTTGACGTTGGGCCTTGATTTTTCATTACATATATGTGTTAAATTGGCTTGTCCCACGGTAATTTGCGCAAATTGTGGGATCCTCCTTTTTGTGGGTTGGGCAGAACATCCTCGGGAATGTAATCGTCCGAAGAAGCTGTGTCTATTTTAATAGTTCAACCCGTAAGCTATAGACTTTCGCTGTTTTTATTTTTGTACGTCCGGTGGTCAATTGCCATTCGAGTAATGGAATGTCTGCTCCATAATTATTAACCTTAATTTATTTTCACTGCCATTCGACAAGCTGGGGAAGTTTCCCCTTCATTAATTCAGTATATTATGTACACCAGTCGCTAGATTATCTTTGTGTACCCTACATAAGAATACTCCGGTTTTGAAACCTTCAGCAAGTCGCCGTATTTTTCAGAAAATTTTTGAGTATTACACTGTCGACTTGTTTCTCAAGCAAGCCTCTTGGGAAGGTCGGAGTGAGTATCTCACATGAAATAAAGATTTTTCATAAAAAAAACATCAGCCGTATGGATGCGGCTTAGCATAAACTGAAACTGTTCTATTTGTTGGAAGAACATGAAGACGCAAAACCACATATTGGGGAAGGACCTCGGCTGAAAATCGCTTGAGCGGTTACAAAGCGCCAATTATATGTGTATAATCAATAAACCGGATTTTATTTTCTCAAGATTTCGGCCAAGACCTCTCCAAAGGGTTTCCTCGTTTCTCAGTAACAGAACGGATATTTAAATATTTTACCTCAACAAATTAATATCTCTTCAGGAGCTTCTCAAAGTGGCCAACCCCAACCGACTCTTTTCTTGTTAATTATTTTTCATTTAAAAGCTAGAGGAGCTTTTGTCTTTGTTGAAAGATGATCTATAAAAGTTTAAGATCCGTATGTACCTGAAGTACTTGATACGACTTTGGTGAAGCCAATATTAGAATATGGTGCATTGATTATCAATCTTACTCCGTTAGCTTAGAGTATGTCTAGAAGCATTTTTTTCTTAAAACTACTTCGAGGGTACCCCAAATTAAGTCTTTCTCCCAAACCAAACGTATATGGATGCTAAGTGTGCCCACTCTCGCCAAATCTAGAGAAATCTTAAGCATATTGTTCAGAGTCGAACCTCAACCCGTAGTTGAGTGAATGTTGAAATAATTGCTTTTTCTGTAACAGAAGATTTTTAGTTAACAAACCCTTCAATCTCACACCCCAACAAATACCGTGGATGAGGGTAGTGCTGGAAACACTCACGAGCTTAAAAGTTCGTTCAATGTGAATTGTCACAATCAAACTTATGAGAGTCTCAATATAAAACGATTTTCCAATAAGAGGTGTTATTTTGAAGAGCCTGCTTTTGAAGCTGCAGCTTTTTGGCATTTGACAAGTAAAATGTACGCATTAAAATGATTAAAATTCACTATAAAATGCTGAAAACTGAGCAGAAAGGATTCGTAAAACTAAAACATTTTTCGGTCGCCGTGAAGCACCTTCTCGGACTGCAATACAGAAATTGGTGACAAAAATGGAGATGTTGGAACAAGTCAGTGATGTGAAGAATAAAACACGTGCTTATCGCTAAAGAACAACTGAGAATATTGCAGCTGTAGGCCAAGCCCAGGTTTGTCCATTCCACGTAGTTCTTTAGAATTGGGGATTCCAAAAAAGTCATTACACCGTATTCTGCATAAAGACTTGAGTTTATTGAGACTATAAGTCTTATAAAGTTCAATTAATACAATAAATCAAGTCGGCCGATCGTCAACTACGTCATGTATTTGCTTGAAATGCATGAAAATTATCCGGAAATTCATGGAAAACTTATCTGAACTGATGAAGCCCATTTCCACCTCGATGGTTGCGTTATAAGTAAAATTTTCGCATTTGGTACTCGGAAAACCCTAGATTTATTATTGCAAAACCTCTCCATCTTCAACGTGTAACTGTTTGGTGCGGTTTATGGTGCGGAAGAGTCATTTGGCCTTACTTTTTCGAAAATTAAACAGTTACGGTATTGATCCGGACAACGTTGGCTTTCAACAAGACGGCGCTACGTGCCACACGAGCAACGAAACCAGCTGCCTTTTAAGGGAAAAATGCCCGGGCTTATGATTTAACACCTTGCGAATTCTTCCTTGAGGGTTACGGCAAAGTTATGGTTTACTCCAACAGGCCAAAATCGATTCAAATCCTTAAAGATGAAATTCGTAAAGCTTTTAAGGGCATAAAGCAGCAACTTTGGGATTTAATGAGGAAAAATTTAATAAAAAATAATACGGTCTTGTAAGCATGTAGCCGTGTCGGCCATTTGACTGATATTGTTTTCCATTATCAATGACATATCCTCCTCTTTACATCCGATCATTTATTTCCAAAAATATCATTTTTTTTTGAAAAGCAAAATATTATATCATCCCCTATTGGAAAACGCTTTGAAACTCACCACCGTTTACGTACGACGGTAGTCGTAAATGTTACAGTGAGTGATCTGAAAAAATTTTATGCACAATTTAGTGTATCCTACGGCAATTAGCGACGAGATACGGACACGTTCGTGAATGTTTCCAGTATAATTATTGGATTTATTATCATTCTTAGCTGTGGTGATACTCTTTAGGTGCTTTCATTATTTTCCGGTAGATGTCGCAACATACATATGTATGTACTAAGTCTTATTGTTATTGCTATTTCATCACAAAGCTCTAACTGTATATATTTCATTTCCATAAAAATGCATTTTCATTAAATTTTCTTATTTTTTTTTTCATTTTTATAGGATTTTAGTTGTTGAACAGTATGAAATGCAAACTCAAAAATTAAAAATAATCACAATGAAAATTCGTTGATAATTTTCTACTAATTTTTGTAAAATTCAAAATATTAATTTTATATAAATTCAGCTGCCATATTGTAATTATTGCTCATATTTATGTACAAAATATATATATATATATAAATATGGAATAACTCAAAGCACTTTACATAAACAAGAAAACATTTTGGTTGCGGTTCTATGCTTGTAAATTTATTAAATATTTTTTTTTTTTGTAAATAATTCTCATTATTTTTCATACTTCAAAAATGGTTTTTTATTAATCTCGAAATCTCATTACCACAAAAGAACTAAATACTAAAAGCAATAAAATTCTACTTTATATGTATGTATATTCTAATATCATCATTGAAACAAAAAATCATTTAGCATTTAAGCGATATTTTCATAAAACTTTGCTCAGCTAAAAACCATCAATTTAAAATGGTATAAAACTATTATGTCACAAATCGCAGTACATACATGCACATATGGCATAAAACCTAAATAATATATGTATGTATTTTTCACCTTCATCACATTGCCTTTTTGTGTTTCTGTTTAAGCTTTTGTATTTTATTTTTATAATTTTAAATTTATTTTATGTAAAGCAAAATCATTTTCTACTTCATTTCGACAATATTAACTATTACCACTTACATATTAAATTAAAAAAAAAAAAAAAAAATTGTATAAAAATTGTTGTTGTAATGAAAATGAAAGCAAAGATTTCACCAAAAATTAAAATTTTCATTTACATATAATTGTATCATAAATTAAATAAAGCATTATTTTTTAACAAAAAAACAAAACAATCATCAAAAATGGCTTTTTATTTGTTGTTGGAAACTAACCATTCACACATTTCGGCTTCACTAAACTTTTCGGCTAACAACTAAACACCTAACGCTGCCATGGCAAGCAAAAGCTCAAACTAACTCAAAAAGCGCGATGGATAAAGGTGCGATTATCCATAAAATAGCGACATTTAAATCATATTCAAGGGTAACTGGCTAACACCTAAATCCGACACTAATTTGGGCTCTTTAGTAAACTACATATATATATGTAAATAAACAACAAACATTTTCATCAAAAAAATAATATATATAATCGTAAGAAAAAGCTCTGTATATTCACCTAGAGCATTGAGTCCACTTTTTAGAGCTTTCAGCTTTATCCATTTCTCAGAATAAACTGTTGAAGCGGGCGTCTTAACTTACAATTACTCATATATGATTCCGTTTCTTTTCTCTCTCTTTCTCTTTCTCTCCCCCTCTTTCTTCACTCCCCAACTCTCTCGCATCGCCACCACACAGGTCGGTAGTTATTCATACGAGCCGAGCGCTTTCAAATTCGGCGATGTCTCACACAGTTACGCCCAACTTCAAGTGCCACAACGTAATTTTTGGCAACGTAATTTCCATATTTCCTTCGGTTTTCGTTCCTTCTATCCGAATGGTTTGATATTCCTTGCACCGGGCACCAAGGAGAAACATAAACATTATGTTGCACTTCTATTGAAGAACGGTCAGCTCCTGTTGGTTGTACGTGGTCGTCGACGGGAAGAGTTAAAATTAACTGCTAAGTTGGATGATGGTGAATGGCATCATGTGACCATCTTTTGTCAGGATCGGAAGGTGACTATGTCTGTGGAAATCGGTCAAACAGATCAGAAGACATCGGCGCAAATGAAGGTACCCAAGAAAATTGCTGCTACAAATGTGCTTTACGTTGGCGGTTTACCGGAGAAAGTACCTAAGCTGCCATCGGAGTTGTTGCAACGTCTGGAGTCTTTCAAGGGTTGTCTACGCCGCATGTCAATCAATAATAGTACACAAGATCTGGCGCGTCCCGGCAAACATCTACATGTTGGTCAATGTTTTCCGAAGGTGGAGAAGGGTTCGTACTTTCCCGGCGATGCCTTTGCGATATACAGTAAGTAAACGAAACCTTTTAAGTTTCTAGGTCTGGGGTTTAAATATAATTAATGCAGCATGGGAATTTAAATTATTTTTAAATTTCCTTTTGTTGTATTTAATTTTATTTCGTTCTATTTACATTATATTTATTTAGTTTTATTTATTTCTTTTTTATTTTAAATATATTTTTCGATTTTATTTTGTTTGTTTTTAGTTTTGTTTTGTTATATTTGAATTTTGTATATTTTTTTACATTTTGTTGTATTTTTTGATTTTATTCAATTCCATTTTGCTTTTCTTCTTTTGTCTTTTTTATTTTCTTTCATTTTATTAAATTTAATGCTATTTAATTTAATTTTATTTATTTATTTTTAATTCTTTCACATTACTTTATAATATTCTTTTGTTAAAATTTTTGATTTTTAAAAATAATATTATTTATTTTTAACTCATTTTTTCCTTTAAGAAAATATAACATTCTTAACTTAATTTTTTTGTAAAATTTAATTTTATTTTACATTATTTTATTTTTTTCATATAATTTTAGTTTATTTATTTGATTTTATTTTAATATATTTATTTTTGCCATTTCATTTTATTGTATTTTATACCATTTTATTCTTTATTTTTTTTTAAATTTAATTTGTATTATTTATAATTTTAATCAAAACAATTTTATTTCATCTTTTTCAATGTTTTTTATATTAGTTTACCTAATTTGATATTATTTTACAAATTTTTTTTCATTTGTTTTGGGTTCATTAATTTTACTTCGTGTATTTTATTCCTTTAGCCTTATTTTGGTTTATTTTCTTTTCTTTCATTTTATTTTTTTTCATTTCATTTAAATTTAATCTGATATATTTTACTTCATTTTAGTTGATTTTATTCCATTTTTTTAGTTTATTTTATATTGCTCTGTATAACCTTATTTTATTTTATTTTCGCTAATTTTACTTCANTTTATATTATTTTACCTGTTCTCAGTCAATAGAATTTTCTCACTCCACTTATAATGATAACACCCCCCTTCACTTTTGCAGAACGCAACTTTCATGTTGGCAAATATCTGGAATTCGAGTTGGACTTTCGCACGTCGGAACTCTTTGGAGTACTGCTGAGTATCTCTGAACCGTCGGGCTTTCCAGCTTTATCATTAGAACTGAATAATGGCAATGTAAGCTTTTCACTAAAAATTTTGCTGAATCACTTGCATAAAATTTATTACAATCATTTTTTGTCCACCCCCACACAGATCATCTTCTCCACCGATCTCGGCGATGGCATGCCATTCCGCGTACAATCGGAATTACCTAGCAAATATGCGTTATGCGATAATAAATGGCATAACATTTCGGCACTCTACGATTATGAACACATCACCTTACGCATAGATCAGATGGCGACAACGAAAGCGAGATCAAGCCAACAGCGCAGCAATAGTAAAGTACAAACTAAGTCCGCGCTTTATATAGGCGGTTTGCCAGGTATATTATTTACTGGGAATACAATACTTGCAAGAAAAATATCTTATAAAATTTCTGCTTTACAGAAAACGCGGCGAGCGGTACACTCCTAACACGCGAAAATTTCAAGGGCTGCATACGTAATGTGTCCATACGACAAGAGCATCGAGATTGGATTGATATGGATGAGTTGCATAATGTGCTGCTAAGCGAATGCCTCGTTACCGGTGTGGAGAGCTAAATGTGTAGCGTTTTTGAAAACAAAGTTTTGCGTGGATATAGAGTTTGCCATCAACACGAGCTCTAACATTTATTGTGATCAATATTACTGCTTTGGAAAGTGTACTCGTGTATTTAAACTCATTATATCCGAATTTCCTGAATTTATTATTAATTGTTATAATTTTTTTAAGTCGACAATAACGACGAACGATACTGCCATAAAGCATTTACGCTTACGAAAACGCTGTAGGAATTTGAAAATTATTACAAATATTTAACTGAAAATAACGAAGTAAGAAATGTTTTGTCACTTAAAAAGAAAAAAGTGTGAAGATTTTCTAATGAACATTTTTCTTTTGCTTTTCAAGTGAAGTACGACATTTTTTTTTTTTTGTACTTACATTTATGTACATATGTACAATATGTACAACAATAAATTAACACTTTTTATCATTGCCAATACTTATAATTTCCACTGAACGGAACTGTCTACATAACTGTATACTTGTATTAAATGTATTAAATTAAATGAAAAATATTTAAAAATAAATAAATATATACATAAGTACATATGTATCTGTACATATATGCACCGTGTGCGTATGAACGAACCAGTGACCGCATATTCGATGTATAAAAGTTTAGTAATAAGAAATTGCTAAATTTTAACACACGTTTTTAATATAAAATATTTATGTATAATAGTAGAATATATCCCTGCCTAATTTTTAGTTAATAAATTAATTAGTTTTTTTTTTTTGTTTTTTGTTATTTATCACCACAAGGGCATTTCAAATTGCATTGCTGTTCATTTATTTATTTATTTCATTTTGTTATTTTCATTTAATTTAAAGAGGCTTTAGTTAATTATTTTATTTTAGTAATGTTTTATTTTAAATTATATTTATAAGCAAATTACACTTGTGTTCGTAAATTTAGTATGTATTTTTATTAAATTTGTTATTAAATTAATCCAATATTTTTTTACGCTAAGAGCATTTTGTACCAAATCATATGAAATAATTTTAATACAATATTTTTTAGTTAAAAAAAAAAATATTTTTAGAAATATGTTTGTAAATAATTATAAATATTAAATATAATTGTACAAATTAAATTTATTTACGTATCATTTAGCATTGCATAAAACCTTTTGTGTTATATTTTAGCACATAAAAATGCATAAACCATTGTAAATATCAAAACGGCTTTTTAAAAAGTAAAACTAAATTAGCTAAAAATGCGCGTAATTACGTGTTAATATTAAATACACTTAATGTGCAAATAAATTTAATTACACTTAATGTATACTAAACAAACAATTAATATTAATTTATTCGAATCATCTTACTTTAAGCCATATTATATGTATGTTCGTACAACAATTAGTAGTAAAAGTCTTAGAATAAATATTTCATATTTTACACAAATGTTTGTTCTTACAAATAGACATATACATATGTATGTTTACGGCAATTTAAGAAAAATGCTTAATTTTAATTTAATTATTTTAAGTAAATATAATGATAAGCTAATCATTTACCATTAAGTATGTATGCATGTCTTAAAAACGAGAAATAAAATATATTTATTAAAAAAAAATCTAGGAGATACATATAAAAGTATGCTTTGAAAATGAGTACAAAGGTGAGACGAATTTTAATAATTTTTGCCTTGCATTCTTAATCATTTTCATTCATTAGTGTCAATTAATTTTTATGGCATTTAATTTAATTAAAATTTTTATTTATTTTATTTGATTCAACCTGCCTTCATTTTACTGTTATTTTAGTTTATTATATGTTTTTATTTTAAATCACTCAAAATGATTTCATTTCATTTAAATTAAATTAATTATTTCTATTTACTTAATTTTATATGTTTTATTTTTTGTTTCATTTTTATTTTGCTTAATTTTTTTTTTTGGTTTTTTATTATTATTTCATAATGTCCTGTTACAATTTATGTCATTTAACTTTTTTATTACATTTTATTGCATTATAATTTATTTTCATTAAATAATTTGTTCTATTGTACTTTATTTGCTTTCATTTTGCTATTACTTTAGTTTTTCCTTTTTTTAAATACACTTTGTTTCAAATCATTTCCTTTCATTTAATTTATATTTTTGCTTACGTAATTGCTTAACTTTTTATTTTTTTTTATCATTTATTACTATTTCATGATAGGTTCTTACATTTTGTTCTATTTTATTTTGCTATAATTTTACACACAAACGAAGATCGCTTAAGCGGCTACTAAGCGTCCATTATATTATATATATATATATATTTTTATATATATTTTTTTTTTTTTAATTTTTATCTTTGTTTCAATTTACTTACTTTACTTTTTTTATATATTTTAATTTTTATTTATTTTCTTCTTCTCTTCATTATTATCCTTTTTATTATTAGCACTTTATATTATATTTTTATTTCTTTTATTTTTTCATAATTTTTTTTTTATCTAAATTTATTTCAAATAATTTTTTTTTTTGTATTTTTTGATGTTTTTTAATTAATTTATTTCTTTACTTCAATTATTTACTTCGTTTTGGTTTACTTTGCTTTAAGTAAAGTTTTGTTTTGTTTTCAATTTCATCTTGAAATCGTTTATTTATTGCTTTTTTATTTTTTTTATTTTACTTGATTTAGGTTATTTTATTGCACTCTATAATATATAGATTTTCGGACATGAAATAAAGGCTCCTCATAAAAAACCATCAGACGTTCGGAGGCGACTTAGTATAAACTGTAGATCCCTCCATTTGTTGAAAAACATCAAGACGCAAAACCACATATTGGAGCAGGAGCTGTGCCGAAAATCGCTTTAGCGGTTACAAAGCGCCAAATATAATACAATATATATAATATATAGATTTATTTCCCTTAATCTTTTTAATTATATATATATATATATTAATTTATTTTGTGTTATTTTTTATTTGTTTTAATTTAATTTTACTCATTTTTATTTACATTATTTTTATTATTTATTTTATTTACTACGTTTTATTTGAATTTAATAATACAATTTTTTTATTTAATTTTATATTGGTTTATTTTATTTTCCTTTTTTATTGTGTTTTATAATATCAGCATTTAGCTTATTTTATATATATAATTGGCGCTTTGTAGCCGCTGAAGCGATTTTCCACCGAGTCCCTTCTTCAATTTATGATTTTGCGTTCTGCTGTTTTATTTTTCAAACAAATGGAGGGGCAGTTTATACAGAGCTGCCCCCGAACGGCTTTCTTATTTCTTTTATTACATATTTTTCATTTTATTTTTGTTTTACATGTTTTTTTTATTTGTTTTAATTTGTTTTTTATTTTTATTCATTTTGTTTTTCATTATTTATTAAATTTAGTTCAATTTAATTTCTCTATATGTTAAATGACTTTAATTTTTATCCAGTTTTATTTATTTTTATTTATATTTTATTATTTTATTTATTTAATTAAAAATTTGTGTTTATTTATTTACTTAATTTCATATTTTTCCTTTTAATTTTTTTTTGTTATTACTTAAATTGTAAATGACTTAATTTTTTGGATTAAATATTATTAAACTTTTTATTAAATTATTATTTTTTATTCTATATATATATTTTATTTATATTTAATTTTATTTAATACTTTATCTTTTTAATTTTTATTTAATTTATATTTATTTATTTTTGTGCCTTTTGTTTTAACTTAAATTTGAAATGACGTCAATGCTTATTAAATTTAGATTATTTAATTTTTTGCTTAATTCTATAAGTTTTTCTTGTTAGTTTCTGTTTTTTATTTTTTTTTTATTTTTATTTTTAGTTTTTGTTTAATTTTTATGTTATGTTTTATTTTGTGTTGTTTGCTGCCTTTTTTTGTTTGTTTCTTCTACATTTTATATATTTTTACTTTGTATTTTACTTTGCTTGCCTTGCTTTAATTGTTTATTATTTTTTGATGTACATTTAACATTTTATATATATATTTTTAATTTATTTATATATTTTATAATTTTTTAAATGTTAACTGCGATTTATTTAAATTTTTTGTTTGTGTTTCTATTGTTTTATTTTGCACTTTTACTTTAGCTTAGTGTTTTTATTTATTTTCTTACTCATTATGTACATATATTATTTATTATAGTTTATTGGATTCTGTCTTACTTAGCTTTTTCTAGCTTTTATTTTATGTTATATATAATTTTTTTAATTAAATATTTTATATTAATATTTTTTATTGCATTTGTATATTTTTATTTATTTTTTATTTTGCTTCATTTGTTTCTTTTTATTGTTTTATTTCATATTACATTAATTTTATTTACTTTAGTTTACACAATTTAATCTTCCTTGATAATTAGTATGTATTTATTTTGTTGTTTTATATTATTTTAGTTTTTAAAATTATTTTTATTTTTTTTTTGTTTTTACCTTCTTATAAGTTTTATAAAATTTCATTTACTTAATTTGATTTATTTATTCTTTTTTTTTAATTTTTAAAAATTTATTTAATTAAATTTCACTTCATTTACTCCAATTTTACACTTTTCATATATATTTTTTATATTTAATTTTGCAAGTAAATTTATTTTATTTTATTAATTAGTGTGCCTTAAACTTTTTGAATTTTCGATTTTAATATTATTTTTTATAAATACCCAATAAATAAAATCTCACAGAATACGCCCTTAAATTATCATAATAAGCAAAGGTTGGCAACTTTTCAATCAGCTGTTCCGATTGTCAACATTGGCAAACACATCTCCACACAAGTGTATTAATGTTGAGCGCCTAATTGGCTCTCTTTCATTTGCTCCACGTCAATACACTCTGCTATTGCACGCAGTATCCCAAAGATTTCTTTGCTTTGTTTTTACTTGGCGCTCGCTCACGCATAGCAGCTGCAAAAGCAACGGAATTTCAAAGTCAGTTTAGTTCTTTCGTGGAATTGAGCGAATGCGGTTCTTCAGAGTGAAGGAAATATCTTGTTTGTGTACATTTCCCAATTAGGAAATTACTTCGGTCACAAAAAAGTGCCGAAGCAACAATTATTTGGAAAGTTTGCTATAAATAATAGTAGGAGAAAGCATTATAAAGTAATTGAAGAGTGTTAAATATTCTCCTCTAAGTGTTTCTGTTCGGTACTAATCAAATTGCTGTTGAAAATCAAATTCAAGTGAATGGGGAGCTGGATAAATTGATTTTTACTTTTGCCCTCCATTGTGATCGTGTGAAAAAATAGTCTATGCTCTTGTGTGTTTGTACGAAATTTTCGTTGCATTCGCGGTTTGTGTGTGTATGTATTTACTTGTGTTGTGCTGTTAAATGAATCGTTGTTGCGCTAATCACAACTTCAACCGGCTAAAGTGAATTACTTTCCCACGATAATAAATACTCATTAGCTATGGCCAGTCAGCAGCAGTCGAATATGGATTCGGCGAGTGCAAATTTTGAGGAACTGCAGCAAAAGGAAATCACGGCTATTCCACAGTATGGCCTAAAATTGAAATTTGATCATGTTTGGCCTGAGAAGCGTAATCAGAATTTTCGACCAACGTTCAGACAAACATTGCCTTTGTTGCCATTAGCGTGCAGGTAATTGCTGTTTGTAATTGTAATGCAAGTGTAGTAATAATCGTTTCGATTCCCAGAAGAATAATAAATGTGGTCTAGTAAACAGAGAAAGCACTTTAAAGGTTTACATAAAAAAGAATATAAAATATTGAAACAATTGAAAAGTGGGAATTACACACATACATGCATATGTACATATGTATGTACATAAAGAAAGATCAAACTTAAACTATTTGTCCATTTTCACTTTATGCCAATTTTTTTTTTTAGCAAACAGTCCGTTTTGTAAATGAAAAAAGTCTAATTTTGACACCTTGAATCGGATGTGTTGTGTGTTCGAATTTCTCAATTGTAATAAGAGGACCAAACACCTTATTAGTTGCGAGGCAGGAAGCCAATCGATGCAAAATTAATTTCCTCATAGTTAAAGGCTTGATTTCCATGTAGAGCACATTTGGGTAGCGCTCAAACTTGGAGAGCTCCGTTTCATAAAGTAATGAAAATTGTTTAAAAAAGAATGAAAGAAAATTTTGAATATTTCACATTGAAGATTATGTATCTAGGAAGTCGAAAACTAGATATCCAGGTATTATCAGGTCACTGCTGGACTCAAACCCGCATTAAGAAGTGTCTCCAATGGCTCAATAGGTTATGTGGAGTTGTTGTTGTTATAGCGGCTCACTAACCCTGTTTAGAAGCAGACAAAATCAGTTGAAGTCATTATGGTCACCTAAAGGGAAGCCCAGGAAACGATCTGTTTCGACGGTTTCGGACCAGACGGAAAGGGGGTCTGGAGGAGGGGTTAGATGTTGTCAATATCCCAAGATGTAGACCTTAGTTGTACTAGTACTACGCGGGATTGTGGAGGTCGGTCGGGCTCTTCGTCTTCAAGAGGTGGTGGCTTGACTCCGAGAACGTCATTCACTGGTAGAGAGTTCAAAAAAACAAGAGTGGGGAGAGGACACCACCGTCGTATCAGGGTTGGTTTCGACATCAGCCCTGATAAGAAAGATTTGGAGCAACTCGGCTGCAAGGTGTTGCTCCGTTGGCGAACTTAGAGTAATGTTATCTGTTGACCTAAGCGGGGTTAGGTCGCCGAAAGGGTGACAGCCCTTGGCCGGATGAAATCCGGGTCAACTTGGGTGCGTAGAACCAGCTGTCTTGAGAGTTGGGTGGTATTGTTGCGGTGCTGTGCACTTTTTGGAAGCCATGCTGATGTGCTGCTGGACGCAGATTGTGAGTGAAAGTCGGGAGCAGTAAGGCCTAAAGTGTGTTCGCTACTGGGGAGAGGAGAGTTACCGGCCGATAGGACTAATTTTTTAGGCAGGTTTCCTCGGTTTGAGTAGCGGGACCACCCTTCCCATTTTCCACATCGGTATCATTTTGTGGTCAGTAATAATTTGAAAACCTTGATGAGATAGTCTGCTCCCACTGGTCCTAAATGTATTAGCATCAGCATGCTTAATCTCTAGCGACCTTTGGATTTGGCTGCTCTCGCCTTCCCGATGACTCCCAGAACATCTTCCCTGGAAAATTCAAGCGCCACGCTGGTGTTTGGCAGTGTACACAGACGGCTGGCTGCTTGTCGCTTCATTTTGTCAACCGAGGCACGCAGTGTGAAAAGTCGGCTAGTGTAGAGCATGCTCTTTGGATCCGACGAGGCGCTAATACTGAAAGAAATTCCCACCTACTCTAGTCCAGGGCTTGGTTGCCCTAGAGGGAGGGTTACACCCACTTTTTCCTGAGATCCCTGATAAGTGGATGAAGTATTGCCAGTCAATGGTTGGGAGTACCGCCGAGTCAACCACAGCGACCCTATCAAAACATTTTTTGCCGAGGACGGAGTACGGGCAATTTGTCGACAAAGCCAAATCAGTGAAGATAATTGTTGTGGAGACATTTTCTCTCGAATATGCACATACATACAGACATATACATATATATATATATTGACATAATGCAATACAAATGCATAACTCTATTCATAAGTAGATATGTATGTACATATGCACCTGCTCATATATGTATTTTATTGGCATCAATAAAAATTTCGAGGCATAAACTTTGGCGCTTACCCATGTGAATGCTAAATATATACAGTACTATGAATTATGTACATACATATATATTATAAATATAAGGGCATTGTAACCGCTCAAGCGATTTTCGGCCGCGCTTCTTCTCCACTGCGTATTGTGCCTCTTGATGTATTTTCAGTTTCAATTTCAGTTTATTTTGAGCCACCTCCCAGCGGCTGTTAAATTTTTATGAAGAACTTTCCTTTCATGCCACAAATATATTCGCAAAAACCTTTTTCTTTGGATATTGATCTACCCAGGACTTGAGCTCTGGCCTTCCAAAACACAGTACACAGTGCTAACCTCTCAGCTATCGCTGCCGAAATATGAATGTAAATACATACAAACATGTCTATCATCCATCATCTAAATCACCAAAAATAACTCGTACTCATCAACGCATAATTAAACAAAATAATCAAGTTAGAAGGTCCGTGTTAAATACTATAGTCCCCCTACTGCTATTTATAGCTGTTACATAATATATATATATATATATATATATATACGAGTATATAGACCAAAAAGCGCCACAACTTTGGCTCCAGTCTATTGATGGCGTCGCCAGTCTGGATATGCGTGAATAACCGTACATACATACATACTCGTAGATTTAACAGTATGCATTATATGTACATATAGGTATACATATATACAAAAATATGGTAAGCTACGTGTATTTAGGCCGAACGTGACGCCTGGTCGACAGGATGTCGATTGAAAACATCATTTTCCATGTATATAAATAATATAATATGTGTGTTAGATACACAAAAAATCATACCTATGTATATACAGCAGACGGTTTACTCCCTGGGTATATGTACATATGTATAAATATTCAACAGCACCAACATTGTTTAGCTAAGTAAATTTTAGAGTATCAAACTTGACTCCCAACGAAAACCCAGTTTATATTGCCCAATCGGCACTACTCGTGGAAGTAAATTTATGTACTTGCGGCCACCAAAGCTGAGTAGTGCGTACTTCCGTACACAAGTCAGGGTACAAATCCTGATTCGACGTATAACCAACCAAAATTTTAGAAAAAAAAAAATTTTTTTTATCTTGGCCGCCAGGGAATGCCAATCTCACCGAGTGTATCTTTGACTTGAAATGAAAAGCTCTTCATGAAAATCCATCTGCCGCTCAGAGGTTGCTTAGAATAAACTGTAGATCCCTCTATTCGTTGGAAAAATATAACAAAGCTCGGCCGAAAATCGCTTGAGGGGTTACAATGCCTCACCCTTGCTAAGCGACAAAGTAAATATTGCGTGCCTTTTCCCATAAAATTCACTTTCGTGTTGGTTAAAGTTGAACTTTTGTGTTTTTTTTCGCTTATACAAACTTATAAACATATTCACCTTTTTTTGGTGCATAAGAAATTGAGTCTAATTCTCCATTAGAGAAATTCAATAAAACTTCTGAACGCTTTTGAGTTCCAATTGTTTCTTTTGCGAATGTTTTCACATAAAGGCTTGTTTTTTCACTTCTCACCGTTAAGCGCGTTCGCCATGGACAGGAAAAGACAGTAATCACTTGGTGCCAGGTCCGGACTGTCAGATGGCGGCATTAGGAGCTCCCTTTCGAGCTCCTGAAGCTTTTGGCGCGTCACCAAAGACGTGTGTGGCCTGGCGATGTCCTGATGGAACACAATTCGGCCTCTGTTAATCAAAGATATCCTCTTCTGTATGAGTGCTGCCTTCAAGCGGTCCATTTGTCGGCAGTAGCGGGCCGAATTTAGCGTTTGGCCATAGGGGAGCTGCTCCTAGTAGATGATTCCTTGCCAATCTCACCAAGCAAACAGCAAAATCTTCCTGGCCGTCAATCCGGTCTTGGCCACCGTCTGGGCTTCCCTGAGCTTTGACCACGACCGCTTGCGCTCGATGTTGTCGCAAGTGACCCATTTTTCATCGCCAGTCACAATCCGTTTCAGAAACGGTTCGATTTTCGATTCAGCAGCTATTCGCAGATGGAAATTCGGTATATCATGCTTTTTTTCTCTAGCTCATATGGCACCCTGACATCGAGCTTCTTTTTGAATCCAAGGTTATGCAAATGGTTCCAAACGGTTTTCTGGCTTATCTTTAGTTCCTCAGCAATTAAGTAAGTGCTCACGTGACGGTCTGTTTCCACTATTTCCATGATTTTATCGGGATTCTCGACGACAGGCCTTCCGACGCGTGGCGCACCTTTGACATCGAAATTACCGGAACGGAGCCTAGTAAGCTACTTTTGTGCTACACGTTCGTTTACAGTATTGGGTCCAAAAACTAAATTAATTTTTTCTGCCGCTTTGGCTGCTTTTCGCCTTGATCGAAAAAAATTTGTAAAATTTAGCGAATTTTCTCTTTGCTGGTGTCCATCTTTGACGAGCGCTCACAACGTACTTAGTTAATCAATCGAAAAATTGTCAAAGACAAAATTTTAGCGCGAATAAACATGATTTAAGCGCCATATAGTATGACATGATGCGACTCGTAACACTAGTACAATGGACAATAACGCCAGATCTTAGATAAAAACCGAACGAACTTCTTACTTCACCTAATAGCTGTGCAAGTTAAATGAAAGCTTAAACGTTGGAAAATATCCAGGAAATGGATCGGGTTCGCGCACCTATTCGAAAAAAATAAAATTATCGAAATCTCATGCACAACACAGCTTTTTTCTTGGATTTTCTTTTATTCTTTCGGAAAGTGTTACCGAGGCCGACCTATTCGAAAGACATTTATTTATGTTCGATACACTTGAGATTATTTACCATCACTTTGGTGGAATTTTGGTACGAAGGTATTTATTGATATAGCCTTCAACGCTTCGCTGTGGCATATACTCATTACTCATTAAATGTATGAAAAATTAAACATCTTCATTATAACTTTGTTTACTCAATACTTGCGGCTATACAACATTAGTGGTTTCATCATCAGACCACATAAT